TATTTGTACAATGTGAATTCTGATCAGCAGACTTCTGTGACAGTCGATGGTCACACATAACAACTTCCATCTTGGGGGATCTGAGGACAACATTGTGTGGGCTTCGGGTCAATCCAAAATAGTGGCATTCGCAGATACTGTCTGTCGGTTCGTCTCCATAGTAGCAGCTTCACTTCATTTCCTCCAAATATCAGCAATTCTGCGTGTTGTCTCGCATCTGGTTGTTTTTATGATCCTTTGTTTGCCTTAGACCCTAGAAAATCTGGATTTTGCGGATGATCTGTGTATCATGCCGCACAAACTCAAAGACTACAAGGGAAAATCGAGTTGGCATTAGGGGGTAGGTAAGAAAAATGAACAGAGCGAAGACAGAGGTGATAAATAAACCACGTAAACAACGAAAGCCACCACCACTAGGAGGAATCTAAAAGAGGCTGTCTCTTTCACTTACCTGCGTAGTATCATTCCAACTACAGACGGAAGATGTCGAAGCCAGCCAGGTGTTCATTTCACTTAAATCGATACTGAGACGTACAACACTCAGCACACTGGACAACAACCGAATTCTATTCAACACCAATGCTGAGCTAGTGCTTCTATATGCACCAAACAGTTCGTGTGCGCAGCACCAAAGGCATCACCAACAGGCTGCAGACTCTCATCAACGGATGGTTTCACTCGATACTGAAGACCATGTGGCAGGCTGGAAACGATAGGCAATGAAGAACCATGACGGTAAACCAGACAGGAACCTACTGCTTAATTCGTGTGGGGGATATGGATCGAATACGCGCTGAGGAGATACTCAAGTAATGTCACACGCCACTCCCTCGAGTGGAAGCCGAATAGCAAGCGACAGGTTGGGTGTACAAAGGTGTCATGGAGCAGACCACGTGAAGAGGAAACATAAGCTTGTGGAGCCAGCCAATGTGATAACAGGGAATAGAGTGCAGTACTGCTGAAGCCCTATACCCCACTCGAAACCGAAGGAATGAACGAATACATATAATAAAGTGCATACAGAGAACGTTCAGACAAAAACAAAGAATGCCGTGGCTTTACTGCATAGGCTCTAGTCTCTTTCGGAATACAAATCCGAATAGGTCAGACATCAACCCTGATTACATAGGTTGAGTGGTTAGTGTCAGTCGAAGTCTACCTGCAAATTCCGTAATTCGAGGGCTAAACCAAACATCAGAGGACTACGGTGCATGAATACGTTCGATGACGACCTACAGGAATGTATGCCTCGTCTAAATCTTTAATTCTCATCTGCAACCTAACCGTCAAACCAATTCATTTTCATTCATATAACCCAATGTTTAATACTCTGCAGAAAACAAAACGGATCAACACTTCTCCCAATTTAGCTGTGAAAGCATAAACCCAAGGGATTTGTTCACAACACTAGCACAGAGGTAGATTTCTTTCTCATGAACCTCACGGAAATCTTCACAGTAGCCAATAAACAGCCATTTTTGGTGAGACCCATGACTCACCACTTGTGTTGATTCTCATCCTTCAGCGAATCAACACGTCACCTACTTAGGATCAGAAGATGTCTCCAGGCCCTATAAGACGCACTGCCATCTGCATAAACTCCACTTGTGTCGTCGGGTTTAGGAAGAAGAAACAATTTCTCAGAATATGAAGTATATGCTCCCATTCATTGGAGTTCACGAGAGTCAGTGACAAAGCACTCTAGTGACTGGCCACTATACTTCAACCTACAACGGATATAGAACGACTACTATCTCGTTGTCACTACTGAGAACCACCGCCAGATTCACAACGTTGCTACTAGATATACACGAACTGAAGTCCATGGAGGCAGAATTGGAAGCACAGAGACATGCAAAACAATGACCAACTTATAGAAAGTCTAGCGTGCGATAACATGTTTGTTACACTGCATAATAACAAACAGGAAACCTGCAAGTCTGGACAAATCACATCATTTAGACTATTCAGAGCGAAATCTAACAAGTTTGATACTATTTCATTTAGTTTATAAGCAGTACAGATAAATATCATTTGACTGGAGGATGTAAACCAGGACATCGCACAGGCCGCAAATCAAGAGACTAAGAGAGTGTCGAGCAAATGCATTAGGCGGTTAAAAGTACAAGGATATAAGATGGTAAAAGTAACTCAGGTGCTCTTATTTATGGGCAGAACCAAAAAACCAGTAGCTTCAAGAATCCGAATTACAAGTAAAAGACACTACAGAAAGAGGTAATTGAGCACTCACAACGTCAATAAGCTGAGAGTAATTCTCGACGACTGGTCCGTAGTCATCTTTTCTGAATAATCCATTTTCTTATTTCAGTCGACTTCCTATAAAACACTGACTGAAATTTCCCGACAGTTGAATGAGGAACGAAGTGAACGAAACGAAGGGAGCTACTTATCCCATCATAGGCAAAAAGAGGGAAAATATAATGTAACAAGACTGCAATTCCTCTTTAATTTAGACTAGTAGGGAACCTTTTTTTGTGGAGATGACGCGTACATCAATAACTCCTAAGACAGGCGTTAGTTGAATTTCTAGAACACACACACAGGACATCCAATTCCGGGAGGTTTCATGAGAAAGCAGTGTCTGCTACCCACACATGCCTGGTCCATTCGTCCACAGCTCCTATAACTTCTTATGTTATACCATCTGTTATCTGGAACTGCCCGACGTTTCAAAGTAAAAAATACTAAACTGAATGGATTTTCCACGGAAGAAGCGATTCGTGAATGCTACCGTCTCAGGAAATCATTGCCCAGTCACAATTGACTTTATTTGACGAGTATGTGAACGAATTGTCCCCCCATTTTCCTCCCTGAAAATATGTATACCGGTAGGTGGCGTGCTCAACATGTTCGACGTTTTGTAGGGGATCGGTGAAAACCAACGGAAGGCAACTAGACCACTCAGTTTACAATTTAGTGCGAAGATCAACACAACTCATTAGCACATGCGGAAGCAACTCTGTTGCGCTGAAAATCAGAAAACAAACAGCAACGAACGATTGTCCTGGTGTAACATCACACAAGTCTAGCGAAAGACAAATAATGCAGGAGCACCACCTGATTGCGGCGAACTAAGGCTGGTGTTCTTAGAATACTACTACTGGTCCTGAGGCAACCAAGCTATACACTCATCTTGAGTGGGATGACAACAAGCCAATAAGCTACCAAGCTATTTTTCAATGTGACCTGAAGCCGATTATGCACTTTCGATGAAATTAACGTCTACTTGCAACAAACTGAAGGCAGATAAACTGAAGAGACTGAAATAAATTAATCCCTACCTCTACACTCAGTTCACAATGAAGTCTCTTGAGACGTACTACATAAGCAGCCACCTCAAGAAACGTTATCTTCGTGAAGTTAGGAGATCTAAAGCCTACGTGTGGTTGAACCTTGACCACATCAAAAGTTACAAACTCCTCTATGATGAAATGTCTGCAAACCTGTGCGGGATAACTCACTCGCGTAACAGACCAATCTTTTACTTGAATGTCTGTGCGATGTGACCAGGGATCCTAGTGTGGTGCATCCACTCACACAGAAAGATGACCATAGAGGCATTTGTTTCGCCAACCCTTTCCGTGCAAACATTTGTGTGAAAGTGTTGAGGTGAGCACTCTGAGCACTTGTGCATATTCCGCTGAGTCACGAAGTAGTATCACTGCGCCCTAATAGATCGTTCAACAAAGAAACAACACACGTAGACTTGAATTATCAGACACAGTCCTCCACCAGGAGACCCGTATGCACTTCCTATCCTATAATGAATATAAGACGGGAGCAGGACCCGGTTGGAAAACCGTCCGTCGTGGTGACAGCAACCGTCTCCCGACCACCACCATAATCACACGCTCACGTCTTCCTTACCCATATGCCCTCTCACCATTTCAATATCATTCACGCAATCTTACATGATTAACCATCCTAAACACCCCTTTGTTCACCTTGGAGCTGCTACACGCTGCGGCCACCAGACCTTTCACCTTCTTAGTACCCGTGCGCCTTGCACACTCACATAATCCACGAAGTACAGAAGAAAAAAATTACATCACTGGACGTTTACGTTCATTCGTATGCAATCGATAAGAAAGCAAGCGCTTACTTTCCTGTCATGTATTGTATATACACTGCTACCTTTTATTTCTATCGGAAATCCTCTGTTAACTTTGATCATCCATAAACTGATGGCAATTAGGATCATTTATACGTACTCAGTTCAATTTGGTTTCATCAGTACACAAGGCACAGCACGGTGGTTCTGTTTCTAGTTTCACTGTCGGATATAATTGATGATAAAAGTTCACTTCGCTTCTTTTATGCACTCCATGAGGACGTAGACTGTATCCCTCTCCACTCATGCAGCTGGAGGTGATTTTCGCGAGTTCAATGCAATCATAGCAAATCGACATCTATGCGTCACGGCAAATATCAGCATCCCAAATCTGGCCTCATGTACTTATTGGAGTGTGGTTGAAGTCTGTGACAATGAACATCAGGAGACATCATTACGTGGGACTGGTCGGATGACGTCCAAAGGCGATTACAGTTGTGCTGACTACTTCAGAACAACACAAGGTATTTTCGAAGACCAAGACAATAAGGCTGACGTCTTCCAAACATGGCAGACAGAAGTACTGAAGAAGTATCTCATCCATTGCAGTCACTTGAATCTCCCCCAAGTATCAAATCGCACAACCAATGTTGTCACAACACTGAATAGGACCTCAAGCTCCAGACACCTATCGATTGACATTCAGATGAGTCTTGCCACCTTGTCTACAGCCGACTGGACGAAGCCAACCACCACTGATGAGCGAGGATGCCATCGCGCTCTTTATACCCTGTTGAGGTCTTAACAATTCACCTGTGTACACAACAACCCTCGAGGCATCGAACCCCAAACCTGCACGTAGCTATACGCTAATAACGCCGAGACCGCCCTCTAACCCACCCCGGTCCTCCGCTCCTCGACTTCATTGCTCCCAAAACCTCATGCAGCACGGTTCTCACGACAAACAGCTATCCGCATTTTGAATCAGTACACACTTTGCTGTTCAGCGACTAAAGAAGCCTCTTGGATGGCAGTCATGACGCAACTTTAAACCCCACACAGCAGTCGGCACAAGCCATTCGGTTGATGCTACCTACCTCTACTCCCATCCAATTGGTAGCGACTTTAAGCTTTAAACCCTTGGTGCATGCATGATCCTTCCCCAGAATACTCAAATCGGCTTATCCCCCTGCGAGAATGACAGATTAGCAATCCGTGCAGCCATGAGCTCACCTGGAACTTCATTTGTAGGCACGGTTGGATCTGCATTTAGGTACTACGGTCATACACTGATTCCTAAACTTGTCGATCATGACGAAGCATATTGCAGTTCTCATGACGACAAACGACACACCTCAACTCACCACTTGAAACGCGAAATCAGAAGCCACCAGACGAGCATAACGTGAAAAATTTTATCAAGTAGCATAAATTCAGTTTAATGCATTCACCACACAGTGAGTGCGAAGAGAAACAGTGATTGCGGGTATGAAACACTACAACAAAGTCAGTCTCATGTATCCCATTCATGCTTCCACGTTGCATCGGCTTGCTATGTGACCAAAGCCTTGACATTTATAGCACTGCGGGCCAGAACCTCCACTTTCCGTGCAATCTCGCGCGATATGACCGTACTTATTACACCTAAATCAAAGTAACAATACATCACATCGATTCAATACCTGAAGCATTTTGGACCGTTTGAGTCATTTCTCCGATCATTATTCGGGCAGTCTCGAGAGATGTGGCCTGGTTCGCCACAGTTGTAGCAATCACGTCCACTACCACCACCATTATTATATGAGCCATCACCTTCTCGTCTTCCATTAGTACAATCTCGTGCAAAATGTCCCGTCCCACCACAGTTGTAACACATGTCTACAAGATACAAAACAAACACTTAGCGAAACTCAGTTGCAACACTGGTATCTCAAAACAATCCACACTAATCACACCAGCAGCCCTTCTTACACATCCAGAACTACACACCTCAATATACACGATGCCCAGACGTGCACTCAAAGTTTACGAAGAATGCCTCAAACTCACCGTGGCCACCCCCATAGCCTCCACCGCCGTAACCATATCCACGACCACTCGTGCAATCCCGAGCAATATGACCCAACCCACCGCAACTGTAGCAGCCGTCTACAAACACAAAAAACTGAGCATGCGCAACTGAACCTTGGGCTTCAACTCTACCACTAATGCCTCAATATTTCAAGCCCTAACTAACTTAAATCAATTAAAAATACATCAATTCAAGAATTATCATCAAAAGCATCTTGCACTTACTTCGACGAGGTTCATTGTAGTCACGGTCGCGTCCACCTCCGCCGCCGCCGCCACCGCCACGTCCACCACGATAACCACCACCCCCTCTACCACCTCTTGACCCTGATTGACAGTCACGAGCAAAATGACCAGAACGTCCACAATTAAAGCATTCACCCGACATTGTAAAAGAACCCGGCGACCAACTGAACCTCTACAACCTCCTAACGCTCAACTGACACTCTAACCGTGAACAGGAAACAAGCCCACTCGTGAGCGGATAAACAAAAGCCCAACATGGTAGCCAATTGAACATCAGCTTGTTCATGTCATCCGAAGTATAAATCTTTCACTAGGTAGTTCCTTGATAAAAGCGAGATTCTTTATTTTTCCTTTATCATTTTAATCCTGAACTGTCTATGGAGCGAGACAATGTTCAATGTTCCCCTACTTCTGAAAGCTAGATTGTTTCCCAATTTCAACCTAACGTGATTCAACGACCGATAATAAGAAAAGTAAGGTGGTGTTGAAATCCATAATTTTGACTAGGTCAACTCCCAAACAGAACCTAACACTAACACTTTACGACAACTGCTCATTTTGGTGCGTGAATGCTGACGATTATCACGGCTGCTGGACATAGTCACCCTATGTTCGAAAGTCTGACTGAATACCACGGCATTTTGTTCCACTTTTACAATCAGTGTATTGAGCTCTAGTGGCAGAAGTTTGAGGAGAATGTATGCCTCGTAGCACTGTCATCTGAAGGCGGTCTCTACCTAGCACCAAAGACATCACGACTTCAGGTAATCACCTTAACAATAAGTAGGGATGGCAACCGTATTCGCTTCTTATACCATAAATGTCACCACGCCATACCGTGTTAATACAGTCACAAAAGTCAGTATCATTACCGTGACATCAAATGATAGTCGATATTTGTTGTACCCTCTCACGCGACTACCAATTAGCAACACGGGGCATTCGACAAACTTCTGGTGGACTCATGAACCCTAACTAGCAAATGAGAAGGAAGATCTATATGGTGATATTAGAGCGTGTATTTCAAGAGCCAATGAGAGATAGATTTACAGCAATACTGATAATATTTAAAAGGTATTACGAAGACTAACCATACTGACAACAAGATAGGCAGTGTAACGATTATTTATAAAGAAGTAATAAAATCTGACACAATGTTTGCCTGACTAACAGGCAGTCGGTATTTGTACAATGTGAATTCTGATCAGCAGACTTCTGTGACAGTCGATGGTCACACATAACAACTTCCATCTTGGGGGATCTGAGGACAACATTGTGTGGGCTTCGGGTCAATCCAAAATAGTGGCATTCGCAGATACTGTCTGTCGGTTCGTCTCCATAGTAGCAGCTTCACTTCATTTCCTCCAAATATCAGCAATTCTGCGTGTTGTCTCGCATCTGGTTGTTTTTATGATCCTTTGTTTGCCTTAGACCCTAGAAAATCTGGATTTTGCGGATGATCTGTGTATCATGCCGCACAAACTCAAAGACTACAAGGGAAAATCGAGTTGGCATTAGGGGGTAGGTAAGAAAAATGAACAGAGCGAAGACAGAGGTGATAAATAAACCACGTAAACAACGAAAGCCACCACCACTAGGAGGAATCTAAAAGAGGCTGTCTCTTTCACTTACCTGCGTAGTATCATTCCAACTACAGACGGAAGATGTCGAAGCCAGCCAGGTGTTCATTTCACTTAAATCGATACTGAGACGTACAACACTCAGCACACTGGACAACAACCGAATTCTATTCAACACCAATGCTGAGCTAGTGCTTCTATATGCACCAAACAGTTCGTGTGCGCAGCACCAAAGGCATCACCAACAGGCTGCAGACTCTCATCAACGGATGGTTTCACTCGATACTGAAGACCATGTGGCAGGCTGGAAACGATAGGCAATGAAGAACCATGACGGTAAACCAGACAGGAACCTACTGCTTAATTCGTGTGGGGGATATGGATCGAATACGCGCTGAGGAGATACTCAAGTAATGTCACACGCCACTCCCTCGAGTGGAAGCCGAATAGCAAGCGACAGGTTGGGTGTACAAAGGTGTCATGGAGCAGACCACGTGAAGAGGAAACATAAGCTTGTGGAGCCAGCCAATGTGATAACAGGGAATAGAGTGCAGTACTGCTGAAGCCCTATACCCCACTCGAAACCGAAGGAATGAACGAATACATATAATAAAGTGCATACAGAGAACGTTCAGACAAAAACAAAGAATTCCGTGGCTTTACTGCATAGGCTCTAGTCTCTTTCGGAATACAAATCCGAATAGGTCAGACATCAACCCTGATTACATAGGTTGAGTGGTTAGTGTCAGTCGAAGTCTACCTGCAAATTCCGTAATTCGAGGGCTAAACCAAACATCAGAGGACTACGGTGCATGAATACGTTCGATGACGACCTACAGGAATGTATGCCTCGTCTAAATCTTTAATTCTCATCTGCAACCTAACCGTCAAACCAATTCATTTTCATTCATATAACCCAATGTTTAATACTCTGCAGAAAACAAAACGGATCAACACTTCTCCCAATTTAGCTGTGAAAGCATAAACCCAAGGGATTTGTTCACAACACTAGCACAGAGGTAGATTTCTTTCTCATGAACCTCACGGAAATCTTCACAGTAGCCAATAAACAGCCATTTTTGGTGAGACCCATGACTCACCACTTGTGTTGATTCTCATCCTTCAGCGAATCAACACGTCACCTACTTAGGATCAGAAGATGTCTCCAGGCCCTATAAGACGCACTGCCATCTGCATAAACTCCACTTGTGTCGTCGGGTTTAGGAAGAAGAAACAATTTCTCAGAATATGAAGTATATGCTCCCATTCATTGGAGTTCACGAGAGTCAGTGACAAAGCACTCTAGTGACTGGCCACTATACTTCAACCTACAACGGATATAGAACGACTACTATCTCGTTGTCACTACTGAGAACCACCGCCAGATTCACAACGTTGCTACTAGATATACACGAACTGAAGTCCATGGAGGCAGAATTGGAAGCACAGAGACATGCAAAACAATGACCAACTTATAGAAAGTCTAGCGTGCGATAACATGTTTGTTACACTGCATAATAACAAACAGGAAACCTGCAAGTCTGGACAAATCACATCATTTAGACTATTCAGAGCGAAATCTAACAAGTTCGATACTATTTCATTTAGTTTATAAGCAGTACAGATAAATATCATTTGACTGGAGGATGTAAACCAGGACATCGCACAGGCCGCAAATCAAGAGACTAAGAGAGTGTCGAGCAAATGCATTAGGCGGTTAAAAGTACAAGGATATAAGATGGTAAAAGTAACTCAGGTGCTCTTATTTATGGGCAGAACCAAAAAACCAGTAGCTTCAAGAATCCGAATTACAAGTAAAAGACACTACAGAAAGAGGTAATTGAGCACTCACAACGTCAATAAGCTGAGAGTAATTCTCGACGACTGGTCCGTAGTCATCTTTTCTGAATAATCCATTTTCTTATTTCAGTCGACTTCCTATAAAACACTGACTGAAATTTCCCGACAGTTGAATGAGGAACGAAGTGAACGAAACGAAGGGAGCTACTTATCCCATCATAGGCAAAAAGAGGGAAAATATAATGTAACAAGACTGCAATTCCTCTTTAATTTAGACTAGTAGGGAACCTTTTTTTGTGGAGATGACGCGTACATCAATAACTCCTAAGACAGGCGTTAGTTGAATTTCTAGAACACACACACAGGACATCCAATTCCGGGAGGTTTCATGAGAAAGCAGTGTCTGCTACCCACACATGCCTGGTCCATTCGTCCACAGCTCCTATAACTTCTTATGTTATACCATCTGTTATCTGGAACTGCCCGACGTTTCAAAGTAAAAAATACTAAACTGAATGGATTTTCCACGGAAGAAGCGATTCGTGAATGCTACCGTCTCAGGAAATCATTGCCCAGTCACAATTGACTTTATTTGACGAGTATGTGAACGAATTGTCCCCCCATTTTCCTCCCTGAAAATATGTATACCGGTAGGTGGCGTGCTCAACATGTTCGACGTTTTGTAGGGGATCGGTGAAAACCAACGGAAGGCAACTAGACCACTCAGTTTACAATTTAGTGCGAAGATCAACACAACTCATTAGCACATGCGGAAGCAACTCTGTTGCGCTGAAAATCAGAAAACAAACAGCAACGAACGATTGTCCTGGTGTAACATCACACAAGTCTAGCGAAAGACAAATAATGCAGGAGCACCACCTGATTGCGGCGAACTAAGGCTGGTGTTCTTAGAATACTACTACTGGTCCTGAGGCAACCAAGCTATACACTCATCTTGAGTGGGATGACAACAAGCCAATAAGCTACCAAGCTATTTTTCAATGTGACCTGAAGCCGATTATGCACTTTCGATGAAATTAACGTCTACTTGCAACAAACTGAAGGCAGATAAACTGAAGAGACTGAAATAAATTAATCCCTACCTCTACACTCAGTTCACAATGAAGTCTCTTGAGACGTACTACATAAGCAGCCACCTCAAGAAACGTTATCTTCGTGAAGTTAGGAGATCTAAAGCCTACGTGTGGTTGAACCTTGACCACATCAAAAGTTACAAACTCCTCTATGATGAAATGTCTGCAAACCTGTGCGGGATAACTCACTCGCGTAACAGACCAATCTTTTACTTGAATGTCTGTGCGATGTGACCAGGGATCCTAGTGTGGTGCATCCACTCACACAGAAAGATGACCATAGAGGCATTTGTTTCGCCAACCCTTTCCGTGCAAACATTTGTGTGAAAGTGTTGAGGTGAGCACTCTGAGCACTTGTGCATATTCCGCTGAGTCACGAAGTAGTATCACTGCGCCCTAATAGATCGTTCAACAAAGAAACAACACACGTAGACTTGAATTATCAGACACAGTCCTCCACCAGGAGACCCGTATGCACTTCCTATCCTATAATGAATATAAGACGGGAGCAGGACCCGGTTGGAAAACCGTCCGTCGTGGTGACAGCAACCGTCTCCCGACCACCACCATAATCACACGCTCACGTCTTCCTTACCCATATGCCCTCTCACCATTTCAATATCATTCACGCAATCTTACATGATTAACCATCCTAAACACCCCTTTGTTCACCTTGGAGCTGCTACACGCTGCGGCCACCAGACCTTTCACCTTCTTAGTACCCGTGCGCCTTGCACACTCACATAATCCACGAAGTACAGAAGAAAAAAATTACATCACTGGAC